CAAAAACATCAGCGGAATCATCTAAAACAAAAATAATGGTAGACTATAATCATGTACCCGAATTCCGCAACAACACAGCAGGTTTACATATCTGTGTAAAATCACCTGGGCCCTAAACGGGATCGGTAACTCGTTTAACAGTATGGCTGCTTACCCCCTGACAGTTCCCCTCTTGACGTAACAAGCTGATCTGCACTTACAAGATTGTATTTCTATTCTAAACAGCAACGACTTGTAGACATATTTGTTATGTTATGTGTTCAATTTCAGCAGTGTGGGTGATTATATACCCATTCTGTCTCCGTGTAACAAGTTATTCTATTTTATACTTCATCTGCATAAACTAAAATGGAATGCCGTACATTAAACACTGTACGGTATATTGTAATCATCCTCTGCTAGACATAATACCAAACGTGAAATTGAGCCCGACGTAATGTTGCATATTTTGACTTGAGCAAATCATACCCCCTCCACCGCAAATTCTAGCAAGAGGTGTTTTAAGAATCCTCAACAAGAAGATGCGGCTACAATAATAGTTCCTCATATGCATCAACCTTCGACTGAATAGACCCATACACGCGTTATAACTCAAACCTCTAAAACCGCCGTAGCTAGAACATAATTTTGTTTAGCGCGTATCCGCATGAACACTTGGCCGGCTGAGAGCCAATGGAACATTCACGCTGTAATTTGCCTATTCACCCCACTACTCGCTGCTCGCGAAGGCACTCTTCTCTGTCGCGAACCACAGCATGCCAGCGGCTGCTGAATATACGTCCTCCTCTCTCGAGCCGTCGGATTGTAACGCCATACGTGACTAACAGTAAACCCAGAAACGGCAGATATAGCCCAGTAAAGCCCGTTGCTCTATTTACGACAGCCGCGGGAGACGAAAAAAAATGCGTATGTGGTTTAACACCATCACACCCCAAAACAGCGAACATCGTCTTCGCCTACTTGCCTGCGTCTGGAAATAGTACACGCGCGTAAAAACTGGTTACCCGTCACATATCGCTTGTCTTCTCCGTCTTACTCCTGATCGTGTCGGTGATAACCAGAAACTTATATCTACTTCCCAATAATGACACGCATACACCAAACATGCCCGGCCAATACCCATCTAGGATTTTCCCCTGTCATAAACGATCAAACCTAGTATATCTATCCTCCTTCCACTCTATCTCTCTATATATAAGACCTATCTATATTATATCCAGTATTCTATATATCATTCACTAAAGCCATTACTAGAGTCCTATTCTGCAACTCCTGATATTCTATATCAATGCTGTCTCGCATAACATCCGAACAAGCAATCATATAATGGCGACCTATAACATCACCACTTGACCGTCGGCCGTTCATTATTCTCACAACTTATATCCTTAATAGCGCTCTTATGTCATGGTATGCAGCGTAGACATACCTGACGACTATAACTTCGCGACGTGTCGCCTGCCATCCTTTGTTGCGCTATTAGAAGTCGAGTGCATTTTTCTCATGTATTTTTTCCCTTCAACTTCAGACGATCCTTAATGTGTGATCACTTCATAGGTTTAGCCGCTCTAGCGTCTGCCTCTCGCGGCCGCACATCTCTCGCGCCTGGTCGCCCAACCAAGTACCATCGTCGCAATAGCCATCGCGTCAAGCACCGCAGGAGTCCATTACTAGTGACCGCCGTTGTCCGTGTTCCAGAAGACCTCTCTTACCGCGGAGAAACCAGCCACTCCCGATAGCTGGCCCTCCAGAGACGAGCCGACTGTCTCACGGCCAAAAGTGAGTTTATTCAACTGTCCTACCTCAAACCTCTTATCTCGTGCTCGTCGGCGTCTCTAATGGAGCCGCGCGCACGAGCTTAACCTAGCGGCGTTCGAGACCGCATTCCTACGGAGCAGACCTAGCGGAGAGACGTCGATGTGCTCCCTCGCGTTCTCATCCACTGCCCGCTCTCCGTCGGCAAACACGCGTTCCGCAACCAACCACCGGCGCGCGCTCCGGGTGACCTGCGAAATTCGTGAAGCGCCTCAATGGGTACTAATCGAACTCTGACCTAGCGCCTTCTTTCCGGTAATGTAGTCCCTTTCGAGCGATTGAGTAACGAAAACTAACCACCCGACCTCCCGGTGTGGCGTGTACCTCAAAACTACCAGGCGTCTCAGGAGACGGCGTCATCACGTGCCGACTCGGTCCCGCCCAAACATCATTACCTCGCGATATTTCCATGCTTCTGAAAAGCCCGTTATTCCGCTCGTGGTCTGCCATTCTTCCCTAGTGCATGCACCGCTTCTGTCCCCACGCGTCCGACAAGACTTAATCCTAA